TCACGGAAACAACCGATTATGAACGAGAAATGATATCATGAAAGTTACGGTGCTTATTAAGCATTTTAAAACGTATGTGGTAAGTTGCCAAAGTGCTTTGTTTTGAACGTTCATCAGTATTATAATCAAAAAGAGAAATATGAACGTTAGTTTTTACTGAAATGATCAAATAAAGTCAACATTTCACAGTCTTTACTGAGCTGTGTGGGGTTTGTTCAACTTTTAAAAGATGTTTGAATGGTGATATACACAGTGATAGATGTTAAGGACTAACGTTTATAATAAATACATTTGTATTGATTTTAAGATCTTTTCATACAATCATATGTATTGGGATCATTTGTATTAATGTGGACCGGAGGGAGAGGGTGACGAGCATAAGTTTCACTTTCCTTTTTTATTTCAATTTCAACTTTGGTCATGAAGAATATGTTTCTCTGTTGTCCCCGTTCATAAAGCATAAAACAACAGCATCAGAGCACGGTGCAGAGTCTCTAGATGAGTTTACAGTAGTCCCTCGTTCTTATTAAACATCCATGTTGTAGTCCGCTGTATAGAAAACTGTAGTTTCCATAGTTTCCCCACAGCAGCAGGCGCACATTTATGACCTCTGCTGGCGCATCATAAACACGTCGGATAGTGAAAGTGCAGTCGGATTCTCTAAAGTGCCGCAGTCTCTTCTCCTAAATCCTTTTGAATTCTCCTATCCACTATCCCTTAACCCCATGACGTTTCACTCCGAGGTCAAGGAATAGACGATAGGGTTAGAACTTAGGAGCTGTTTTTTTGGAGTATTCGAACGCAACCCAGGTGTGGGAGACACACAAGGAAAGGAGGTCAGAGTATCTGAAACGAGAGGGAAGGTTACTATTAAAAGATAAAGGGTTAAATCACTAGACAAAGACAAAAACACTAAACTAACATAATTTGCGAGAGATGACAGTGTGATGTCTGTATTTGCTTCCCCTGTCGCGAGTTCTGATCGCTCAGTGATGATACTTATATTTCTAAAATCTGTGGAATCTCAGTTTGTAAGCTTGTTTGTGCATATCCGATAAGTATATCGATTGATTTATACCTAGAGTGCGTTAGCATTTTTTCGCTCAGGGCTCATTTAGACGCTTCTTGTGAGACTTGTGGTTCATATCATCAGTTAGATGCGTTTCCTCTGAGTAGGACACATGAATAGTTTATTACATTTTAAGAAGCCCTGAGACACAGTTTCGTGAGAAAAAAAACGGGCGAAAAAAGCCCCTTAACAGGTTAAATGGGAATTAAATCAGTGTTCCCAAAGCCCCGGTGTTCTGCAGTTTGTGTGGGCCTACTGTACTGTTGCACAGTTTATGCTGTAGAAACTATGTCCAGGACAAGGTGTTTGGAAGTTTTGGAAGATTCATAGCTAACCACACTGAAGTTATGGAGGTATTGAACAGTCTTCTCATATTTTTAAGCCTCAAATTGTCCTCCCCCCCCTCTAACATCACCAGAAGTCATAATTTAAGGTTTTTTTTCTCAAAAAAATGCACCGTGGGAGCATACCCCCGGACCCCCCTAGTATTGTTTGATCACCATTTCCACAGCCCCACCTAAAATATTTTCCACCAGCCGCCACTGCATATATATATATTTGTTTTTATTCTACTAATTCAAGTATAATTCATACACACAAAGATGAACCAAATTAGTAGAAGCAGGAGGGCTGAAGCCTAGCTTATGGGAAGTAGCCCTCCCGTGAATCATCCTAATACAACATTGGCATTATTGCGTCAAAAACGTATAGAAATTAAGGAGTACAAAGAAATAAAGAAAACTGGGGGGAAAAAAGATAAAAGTTAGGGCAAGAAAAAAATTAATGCATATATATATAAGAAAACTAGGGTCATTTTCTGCACATGTCAATAGCATTTTCAACTATCTTTTTTTAAAAAGAAAATACTATATATAAATATATACATATATACACATGTACTTGGCAAATTAATAATAATATATGCATATAATAATATATGCATAAAAAACATTGTGAACACTTATTTGCGAGTGACTTTTTACATTCATATGTTCACACATACACAAAATATACATATTTTGTATGTGTTCAAGTGTATAAGTACACAAATGCACTCATATACACCAATACAAATATTGCAAGGCAATTTCCAGGGCTGAAATAATAATTCAACCCCATAACGATGAAAATAAATAAGAAGGAAAAAATAAATAAAAAACAATGTAGACCATATTAAATAAATAAACAAACTGAGAAGGTATTATTTCAAAAAATAAAATAAATGATTCTGGGAATACCCAATATTTGTTAGCTGGAGTAATCTGCAAATAGAATTTTTTAGAATTTAGTTTTGAATTGTTGATGACAAGTGATACTTGAAAGGTCTGGGTGAAGTCCATTCCAGGTTCTAACTCCGATTATGGATAAGCTGTGTGATTTGATGGTTGTTCTACAGGGCTTGCTACACAACCAGTTAGGATGCCTAGTTGGGTATTTCCTGACTGTGGTTTGGAACTGCTTTTGAATGTTATTAGGCATTTTGTTATGGAAAATGTTGTGCATAATCAGTACTGTTTTACTATGCTTTACTATGTCAACACATTTTAATAGATTGAGTTTTTTTAAATATGGGAGTTGTGTGTTCATATTTACCAACACCACAGACTATTCGTAACACTTTTTTTTGGGATGTTATTATTTTTTGTAGATTTTTTGAGTACGTGTTTCCCCATATTTCGCCTCGTCTATATCCACATATTGTAGCCTATTTCTCAGATAACTCTTAACCCATTCTTTTGCTTGACCCCTTATGCCATAATGTTCTAATTTGTGTAGCAGTAAGTAAGCCTTTTTAAGGTCAATGAATATACCAGCTGTAATCATTTTTTTCTCAATGTTGTTGGTAATTTCTTCAACCAGTTCAATTACTGCTGAAGAAGTAGAGTGATCAAGAAAATACCTTGTTGGAACGATTTATTGCATATATAGGGGGGCTACAATGTTTGGTTTAACAATACTCATACAGTACTAAGTCCTAAATAATCTTTGGACTGTTTACTGTGTTGAGTATTGACAATATCAAGCAGTTCTTTTTCTGTAATTGGGTTCAAGATCATACTTTGTTGGTTGCAATTTTTCAGAGAATCATCAACTTTACATGAAGTTGGACTGATTTTACTCACCAGATTGGGGCCAATTTCAGTAAAGAACTCATTAAAGTTATTTGCAACATCTGTTGGGGTTTTCCTTCGGTTTGGAATTTCTTAAATTCATTTCTGTTGTCATTTATTTTCTTCTTAATTATGCTATTTATTACCTTCCAAGTGGTTTTCATATCTCCTATAGGGCATTTTCAAATTGTTCAGATTGTATCGTTTTTCTCAGTTTCTAAGTATTGTAACGACTTTCATCTTCAGTGCTTTTACTTTTCCTATAGAGTGCATTTTTCTTACTACAGGCGTTTTTCAGTCCATGAGTGAACCAGGGTTTTGAGTCATTATTATTCTTGTTGCCAATCTTAATTTTTATATATGGACAACATTCGTTCATGTTTTGCATGAAAATCCTTATAAACTCATTATACTGTAGGATTTGTTTACATCTTGAATCTCAAATACTTCTTGCCATTTTTCATTTTTTAAGTTCATATTTAATTTATTTAGAGAACTGTCATTTAATTTCCGCTTAGTTATGTATGTCATTTGTTCTTTGTTATTTACAGGTTCTTTTCCGCAAATTGAGAATATTGGCAGGTGATCACTGACATCAGTGATGAGGGCCCCACTATGATGTTCCGTTTCAAGGACGTTAGTGAAAATGTTATCAATTAAGGTTTCAGTAGTGCTCGTTAACCTGGTTGGTTTGGTTATAAGAGGGAGAAGCCCGAGAGAAAAAAACATATCCATGAAGTGTCTCGCCTGTTGGTGCGAGTTGTATTTGAATAAATTAACGTTGAAATATCCACACACATAAAGGTTTTTATTTCTATGAGGTCTGAGCATTTTTTCTACTTGTACATTAAATTCCTCAGGATTACTTCCTGGCTTTCGATACATGCATGAGACGAGTATATGTTTTTTCTGTTTTAGCTCAATTTCTACGGTGACAGATTCAAAGAGGTTGTTACAGCAGATGGAGATACTTTCTACCAATCTGGCAGAAAGTGTGTTTTTAACAAACAGTGTAGCCCCTCCACCTGTTTGGAGTTTGCGATTCATATGAAAAGCCACATGATCGGGTAAAAAATTGTTAACAGTGTTTGAGTCAGTTTGTCAGGTCTCAGAGATTGCAATAGGCGCTTTCACACCGGAGTAATTTTCCCAGGAATAGTTCCGATGGTTCTTGGGATTTTGCGTTCACACCAAAAATATCTGGAACTAGAACTTAGTTCGCGTGAACCTTTTCACCCCCAGATAGTTCCTGCTAGAGAGCAGGGACTTTCCTGGGGAGAAAAAGGTTCGTGGGTGTGTGTCCACATTAACAATTTCTGATTGGCTGGGCGAATTGCAAACCACGCCCCGTAAAACTCCGAAATATTTTGTGACGCCGCCATTTCATTTGCTTGCATTAGCATTATTAGCATTAGCATTAGCATTAGCCCAGCGCACCAACGGAGAGAGACTAACTTATGGCAACACAAAATAAAACATGGGAGCGGTGGAGGTGTCGGCGCTTCTGGCGATTTACTCTGAAGACGCTAACCAGCAGCTTCTACTGAAGCCAGTCCCCAGTCTTTTCTGTGTTAGAGTTTTACTCGCTACAGGGTGTACTTTGAGGGTTTGTTACTTTGCAGACCATTTACATGCAGAAAAAGCTACATAACACACAAGGGGACGGGTAATAACCGGAAAAGCATATGATGGGACCTTTAATATTATTGCTTCCAACTAACCTAATACAGTTATTTGAAACTTGTTGACATATTACATTTAATTAAAGTCAACATTTCCTGCTGTGTGAGTAAAGATATAATTCCCGCAGTGTGACTCACCCAGCGTCTGTCCGGCCAGCACCCTCCCGTTCTCCCCCATCACGGCCCCCTGGGCGCGCCTCTCGCTGGCGTACTGGATGAAGGCGTAGCCCTTGTGCACAGAGCAGCCCAGCACCCGGCCATACTTTGAGAAGATGGTCTCCACGTCCGACTTCTTCACCACCGCAGTGTTCAGGTTGCCGATGAACACCCGGGAGTTGATGGACTTTGGATCAGTCTTGTTGGTCACGTTGCTGGTCTGCACCTTCAGCGACATGGCCGACAGGTGGGCGGAGGAAGAGACTGACAAATGCATGGATCGTGGGGGTGGGATCTAAAGAGAATACAAGAGAACTGGTGTCAGAAGAAAATACAGATACTAGAGCACTTCTGCAAAATATTGGATATTTGAAACTCATAACTGTGTATAAACCAGCTGGGAAATCACAAGACAAGAAGACCTGCAGTAGATCACTTTTCATACTGAGCAAACACACTGTTCATTCAGTGTTCACTCACACTTCAAGACCTTAGATACAAGTCATGCTTTTCAGAGAATGTGAAATCAAAGAAGAACACAGTCATAATGTGGCACGTCTTTGAAGTAGAATAACAGCTTTGGTTAGTTTTTTCTGTGCTTTTCTGAGTTTTTCTGTGCTTTTCTGACCACAACATTCACTATTTTCCGAGGGTCCAATATTTGAGAAGGCTTTACCAATCTACGGTCCCATTTTCTCTCAATATAGACGTACAGCTCACAAGCAATGAAAGATAGATTGCAACAGCACATGAATGCCCCACGAGACAACAAGCCTCACCGAGGGCATGACCTGAACATCAAACCTAGCACACTGGTAAAAGGAATATTTTTTATAAAATAATTAATGTGATATAGAATCGTAAGTAAGTGACTACCGGAACTGAATGGACAGAGTTTTAAAAGCAGATATACAGTACGTCTAATAACTGCAGTCCATCTTTATTTTTACTCGTACCTCTCAGTTTCCTCCAAATTGGAATGTTTCACAATGTTGGCGTCATGTAGTACACAACTGTGGCGCCTCTGAATTTCTGACCACTCAACTCATTAGTATTTGAAGCACTTAATTTGAAAGGGATTCAATTGTCCCTTCGCATTCAAGCAAGAGGTAAACAAGAAAACATCAACAACTTGCCTCTGTTTCGATGCGTTACAGCAGACAGAGATGCTTCATCACCTGAGACCAGCTCTATCGATCACATAGCAGGATTTGAAAGCCAAATTTAATTTCCTCGCTGTGTGCCAACTTCCTCCATGCACATACTAAACACAAGCAGAGAATGTACAATCGAGAAGAGAACAAGGGGGGGAGAAATAAAGGGAGCACTGTGAGGAATGAAAGTAAGAGTAGTAGGGATTAGGAGACGTACATGGGGTAGTATTAGAGAAATTAGAGAAAAGTAAAGAGAGATATGAAATGAACGTGGCTCTTGTTGGTATATTTACTATGGCTCCATACCCTACTGTCACAGTTTGAGACGTTTTCACCGGGTGAATAATTGTTAGTCTCCATTTTGAAAAAAATAAAAAGTATAAATATGCCTTATATAGGTATGGTCCTACACTATATTATTCAAATATAGCATGATAGGTCCACTTTAAATTTAGAGGCCTGAAGAGAAAAGTGAAAAAAAATGAAAAAACGCATGAAAGTAACATATTAAACATTCTTGAAAACGTTTCTGTTGTTGAATAACTTCTTCACGTCAACACTTGAATGCATGTGTGTTTTGCTTCCGTGTGTGCTGGTAATATCCTTCTTCCTGCATTAAGTTGCCAGTATGTAGTACTAAGTAGTACCTTAGCACGGAGTACATCAGTATGCAGTTTGTTAGGGAGGCAATTTCAAACACATAATCTCAGGCTATGCTAACATTAATGCTAACAATCAGAGCCTTTTCCACATGGATGCACATATAGTGGGTAGAGCCGAGCTACAGAACTAAGCATATATCTCCAAAGAAAATCAGGAAGAATAGGGTAATCTCTGTCAAGGGACACAACACCAAGATGAACCCTGAGCTTCTCTTTCAACAAAGTAACTTGGAAGCTCTAGTGGGATTATGCTGGATTGTCACTCAGAACATCTTTCATCACCGCTTAATTTCAGTTTGGCATTCAGATGTACACTTGGCATTAACTCAAAGTGTAGAGGGTAAATGAGTTAGTGAGTCATCTGTTTTACTGTACAGTGGTGGGAGTGAAGTGTGACAGATGAGTCAGTGTGGAGGAAACGGAACATCATGTGGGTCTTTTTAGTCTGTCGACAATGTCACGAAGCAGAGGGAATTCAAAAGAAGGGAAACAGAAATGAATTGAGACTGTTTAAAGAGAAATCAGTTTAAAGTCTATGGGCGTAAATATTAGTCACATAATGTTATGTTTTTTCATCTTTTCTTCTCTCATTTGAGAATTGCCTTTTCCCATTTTTTGCAGTCATTGCCAATATACGGTCCTTCTGAGGTTGAAGACAGTCACGCCCCTCCTAGAACTGTAAAGTCCAGATCTTGACTTAATTCGCGCAAAAATGAGGACTTGAAACCTGACTTTGACCTCACCGCTCTGAGTATGAGACTAGTACTGCTTTTGATTTTTGTCTTTCAGTTAAAGAATGAATTAAGTATAAAAATAGGACTATGCACAAAATAATTGAACAGAAAAATAAGAACTTTGGTATGTTAATAATCCACTATTTTAAATATGAAAGAAAAGGATCAAATAATACACAATAAGACACTGACTGTGATTCCTAATGCTCTGAAGTGCCTGCAAAGAGCTTAAAGGTGTCATGGAAGATTTTATTATAACAAAGTTCTAAACATTCAGTGTAACTCAATGAAACCCATCGTGGGTAGCTTTGATGGCTTACAAATCATCAAAAATATTTGCAAATCCGATGTTTCCTGTTGTGTTACATTTTCCTCAGTGATATAGTGGAAAGTCATTGGCCGGACTGCGTATCATCTCGTGTTGGCATGTGTCCTTGTTCCCTAAACTACCTGACTAATTTTAAATATATTTCATCTGAGAGTTGCTTTCACCTTTTGACATGGTGTTATGTCTCAATAAACAAAAATAATGTTTAAAATAAGACTATTTATAGCTTAGCTGAATATTACTGATCGATCTGATTGGTCAATTTGGACCTTTTAGAGGTTGTTAATACTTGTTAACAGGCTGCTGCTAAGCAACATAATGACAGTTGCTAAGGAGGATCAAGGTAGAGAAGGAAAGAGGTCAAAAGTTGGACGTCAGAGAACTCCACAGAAGAAGACATGATTCGGTGTTCTTTTTCCAATAATGACCGCCTCGCTGCTTATTATCCATTACGTCCTCGTTCAAGAACAACAATTTTATATTATATCTAGATAGAGATATATCTCTGTTAGAAACAATTTATCTATGCCTTTTTACTGTGTAAATCTGGTACTGACAGGATGTTTAACAATCACAAATGCAGTTACATAACTACTGTAAATCATGACAGTAAATCTCCTCACTGCAAAAGAAAAAAGAGCAAAAACTGAAGTTAGTTTAGATTAGATTACTTTATTGTCATTACAAAATGCAACAAGATTAAGGAGGGTCTAACCAGAGTGCAAAACAGTCAGTTATATAAACAATTATCAGAAGTATGTAAAAATAAATGATACAAATATAAAGGTAAATAGATGGGAAATGTATAAATAAGAATAAATACACAGATAATAATAAATACAGTGAATACAGTACTGTATATAAAACAGTAATGTACAAGGATAATTGCCAGAGGTGGGAGTAAGTCCTACATGTGCAAGTCATGAGCAAGTCTCAAGTCTTGACCTACAAGTATCAAGCAAGTCCCAAGTCACTGTGGTGAGAGTCAAGCAAGTCAAGTCATTGCTCAGGTCAAGCAAGTCAAGTCAAGTCATACGAAATTCTGATGAATAAGCCCAGTTTCCGCATTTAAATCAGTTAAAAGACAGTGGTTATGAAAATGGATTCAACCCACACTATGATCTTCATTACATACAGTTAATAATTTGAAATCTAATTTAGACCGATGACAATCATATTAGATTCATATTAACCCTAGAACTGCAGACAATATAGCTAGGGCTCAATCAAAAAGTCTGTTCAAAAAGGCAGAATTCCAGGTAAGAAAATCATATATGGCATTTGCCATTACACATATTTAATTTAAATGTCTGTTAACACTAGAACCGCCAACAGCGTCAGCACCTACATAGATATCATTTTCAAATCATTTAATTTGTTCCTCTACATAAGTTCCTTATAAACTAAGTAGGACGATTTAAAACTCACTTAATTGGGTTAATTTAGAAATTACTTCAGTTTATCATCATAACAGATCAAAAAGTTCAGATTCATTTTACAATAAATCAAGGAATGATGCACTTCTACAAACAAAAACAACATAATTAAAACATTTAAACAAACTACTAAAAGTAGATGAACTACATTATTCAACAGTTTACAGTAACTTCTGATAACACAGGGGAAATAAATGAGGCATCTCTTTCCCTCTCTCTCTCCCTCTCCTGACAGCCCGTCAGTATCAGGGTTAGTACAAATGAATCCCTTGGAGGTTCTAGTGTTCATTTACCGTTTTGTCTTCTCTTTGTAATGCTTAATCGATTTGAAACCAAGTCTAACGTAGCTTAAACTTAACGTTAGCTTTCTAGCTAACAAAACACATTCACGCACCATTCTCTGTGGGTTTTTTTGTAGTGACGAATGAAGTTGGATGTTATGGTGGTCGTGTCACTGATCTTTATGCTGCAGACCCTGCATACCGCTGTTCTCTTCTTATTAGCGTCATCGACAACATAATCCTTGAATCCAAACTTCACTATTTGTGGAGTAACGCTAGCCGCTGCCATGCTAACTGACACTCCTGCCGTCTAGTGGGTTGCCAGGTTTGCGCGCACGGCGCTATAATCACCCAATCACGTTTTTCGAAAAAACTAAACGTAATATCTCACTACAAAAACAAACGCAAATATTTAATTTTAAACAGTCAAGTCCTTTCAAGTCATCTGTCTCAAGCTTAAGTCAAGTCTCAAGTCATGAATACCAAGTCAAAGTCAAGTCAAGTCTTTTATCAATGTTAGTCAAGCAAGTCTCAAGTAAAAAAATATGCGACTTGAGTCTGACTCGAGTCAAGTCATGTGACTCGAGTCCCCACCTCTGATAATTGCGCTTCAGCACAGCACACGACAACAACTAGGCAGTATGGGACAGCGTGGGGTTCATTGTCAGCAGTCTGACTGCTG